GAACTTTAAAATAAACAATTTAGGGTGCCTGGGTGGCTCAGATGGTTAAGCGTCTGCCTTTAGCTAAGGTCATGATCCCAGGGTCCTGGGATCGAGTCCTGCATCGGGCTCCCTGCTCCTTGGGAGCCTGCTTCTCTCTCTGCCTCTCTCTCTCTCTCTCATGAATAAATAAATAAAATCTTTAAAAATAAAATAAAATAAAATAAACAATTTAGGGGTGCCTTGGTGGTCAGTTAAGTGTCTGCCTTTGGCTTGGGTCATGATCCCAGGGTCCTGGGATCCCAGGTTCCTGCCATCAGGCTTCCTACTCAGCAGGGAGTCTGCTTCTGCCCCTCCCCTCTACTCATGTTCTTTCTCTCTCTCTCACAAATAATTAAATAAGATCTTTTTTAAAAGTAAAATAAAATAAGCAATTTATAGAATTCAATGCTAAGGCAACCCAAATCCTTAACAGAATGAGTTACCTCTTTTTACTAAAGCTTTCAATGGCTTCCCGTTGCCTATGATAAATATAAAACCCCCACTATTGTGCATATTGCCAGTTTCTAAACTCCTCACTTGCTTCCACCCTCTGTCCTTTGTTCCAGCCCAAACAAATTGCTATCAGTTTTCAAACTTGCCTTGGCATCTCCTGTCACTATACCTCTACTCACTGTCTCCTTTGGCATGGAAAATTCTATCGAATGTCTCTGTCCCAAGTCCCCATCAACAGGCTTCCATGTACGTATTTGCTACTGCCTTGCCACTCAAGATCCTCACCGAAGCTTTTCTGCCTCCCTGACCATATTCCCCCAGTAAAAATGAGTAGTATTTCTAGGAAAACAGTATAGTCACTCCATGACAGACTGCCTACAGTTGGCTGTGTCAGTAACAATGCATAGGGTTTACCTCCCTATATAATTCATTACTAAATGGAAACTCAGCTTTTCTTAATCATCTCATTTTATTAAGAATTATGGATTGTATATAACCTTCAGAACAGAATTCCAACAACTAAAGAACTCAGAGAATGGTTACAGTTGCTATCCAGGGGCACAAGAGTAGTAGATAAACAGCAATACCTCTACAAAGAAGAGAAAACAGGGTATGTGTCTACCTGTGCTTGTGTTTCCCCGCACACATTCATGACAAGAGATGGGTAGCTCCTTCTAGAGTCCCTCACATAATTCCATCGTATAGCCATCTCTTAATAAAAACTATTCTAACATAAAACAACAAAAATGATAATCTTCATTAATTGCATCTGGGAGTTCCCAGATAATAGAGACACTCAAGAAATAGACATTTTAGTTTTTACGCCTTCCAATTACGCTGCTTGAATGGATCTTTAACTTAACTGTCCACTGTCCTAAGAGGCATGACTTTCTCCAACCCTTCCTCTCTGCCTAAATTTCTGCTATTTTTATGAGCTTCAATGGCCCCTTTTAAAGTGGTAGTTTCTTTAAGAAAAGAATTACAATGTAAATTAGTCTTCAACGAATAGTAAGGCACATTTTGGAATTAAATTCCTAAGTATTGAAGCTTTGCTTCCTGATATGTTTAAAACCATTATATAAGTTTAACCATAGCCATTCAATCCATGTACCTAGAAATATCATTTCTTCTGTTGCTAATGAAGGTCCTACGGCACAAATTTATTAAAGGTATACGTTTGCATGGGATAATAATTGGGTCGATAATATTAAATTCATAGGCTCATTATTTAATTGCAAGGGCAGATTATGAATACAGCTTCTAAAATGTATTTTAATGAAAAACACTACATCCTGACCTAATCATATCAACCTTATGCTATCTAATTAAGGATGCAAAAAATCATTAGAGTTGCAAAATATTAGTTCCAGTTCCATCAGGCTGTGAGCTGCCCCTTCATGAATATATATATTTTTACTCGTGATAAATAGTTAATGAGGTAAAAATGACAAAATTTGCATGTAGGCAAATTAGTTTAATAGAATAATGTCTTTTCTGACTACTGAAAGTGACCTTTTCCTTTTCAAAAAAAATGGTTAAAATACTTGGAAATTATCATCTGGCTGTCTTTGCACAAATGACAAATTATACATATGAACAATATAAAAATTACAAAATGCAATAATCCTAAATTCTCATCATGCTGTAAATGTGTTCTGTGCTTTTGCATTTATCAATTTAATACAAGGAAATTAAGTATATTATAAAGTGTCCATTTATGTGGCAATTTTTAATCCAGAGCATAAAAACGAGAAGCATGTGCTTAATAGCTAATACTATGGCAAAGATCTAGATCAAATTTTTAAAGTACAAAAATTCTAGACTACTTACTTGAAATACTTTTATATTAAAGTGTCTGTTCCACTCTTAATTTAGCATTTTAGATTATAGATGAGTGTTCTAAATTAAACTGGCATTGTATCCTGAAATTAGTACTTCAATTATTCACCAGGATTACCTTGTTCCCCTATTGAAATAAACTAAGCAAGCAAATATGAAACAGGTTAAGAAAAACATTAGACAATTAATCATAAGTAAGAGGAAGTATATGGTATAAATGCCAGGTCATGAAGAGACATAACAAATAAAATATGTATGTCTATTCATTTAAGTTTAGGAATGTTTCTGTATGCTTAATAAACATAACCCCAACAATGAGGAATAACAGGTGCTCTCCAGATTTTCAAATGATTTGCATAAACATCTCTGTGAGTCTCCTCACTGACGGATGCTGAGTCTATGCATATTGGGGAAGAGACAGCAGCAGTTTATCTAGATATATTAATGTCTGTTAATGGCCCAAAAGAATCTAAGCCAAAATATTTTACTTAGGACACAGATGCCTTTGATTAAATTATTTACTTTAATTACATTTAATCCAATTGTCATTTCTTTGATCCATTTAAATGTGTATACACTGTCAGAATTATGAACACTCAAGGTTTGAGGTCTTTCCTGAGTTCTACTCTTGTCCATCATGGGCCAGCTAAACCATTTTATAAAGGAGGGAATAAATATTAATTTTAAAGAATTAAAGAATTTCATAATGTCCTTTAATTTTCCCTCTAGCACCTAAACATTCATTTTTTTCTTCCCTTTTTTATTCCCAGCCCCCTCCCTGCCCCATCTTCTCCTATCTCTCACTCTCTCTGACTTTCCTAGACAAAATAAACAGTCATAAACAATAAAATAATTCTCTATTTTCCTCTGTATTCTCTCGTTAGGTACTATTGTTCAACTCAGATCATTTTGGTACTCAACTTTGGATTGCTTCCAAATTCCTAAACTTCCATGTTGTGAAGCTTAATAATAAGATAAATACGCTCTACCTACCCCAGTCACTTTGACATTATCCTGCAGAGGAAGTGCTCTTTGCTTAATTTTTTAGGATGATTTAGACAATTTGGGCCTTTTAAAAATTATGCTGTTATCAAGGATTTTTGAAGAAGAAACCAGGATGAATATATCACAGAGTAAAATGTGCTTTACTTCAAGTCAGGGACAATGATTGCAGAAATGTCTGGTGCAATGTTATATTTACCTATCAAATTAACAGAATTCAAGACATATTGCATATATTAATAGTAAACCCATGTGGGATTTTTTTTTTTAAAGCTAATGTTTAGGTTTCTATCAGGTAGAGAATGGAATGAGGTAGATTATATGTTCATTATATGGGCGAATTAAATATGTTCAATTATTTAATCATTCATGCTTGCATTCATTTATGTACTGAATGAATAGACAGCAAAAATGTACTATGATCCTCAGACACTATTAAACACCAATAACTCAAAGATGGAGAAGCCACTCATTTATTACACAAGATCTTAGTCTAAAAAGGAATAGGGAAACACAGGTAATTCTCAGATTGTGTGTTAGAAGGGTCAGATAAAACAAGCAGCTTCGACACAAAGGAGGTGGTCCTCTCTCGGCAGGCTCCCTCGAAGCAACACTCAAGGTCAGTCTGGATGAAGAATTAGTTTGCCACGTGGTACCTGAGGAGCTGGGAGGATGCTCCTCCAAACAGAGAGGAAGGGATGGTAATGTAAAACAATATATCATATTTAGCAAACTCTGCTTATTTTTATATGGCCTACTTATATGGGAAGTATTTGGCAAGAGGAAGGCTAAGAAGGGAGAGGCGGAATGCAGATACAGGAGGCATCACTAGAGAGGTTGACAAGAATCCCATCAAATGGCAAAAACGCATCAGTCTGAATTTTGGCTTTTACTCTTCAGGCAAAGGGAAGAGTAAATGACAGGGAAATGGAGGGTCAGATCTACACTGTAGAAATAGTCTAAAGAATGAGTTCATGGACGGTGTGATGACGTGGTAACTGCAGTGTGAGACTGTAGGTAGGCAGAGCAGTTAGCAGAGTGTTGCTGTTGTTCAGAAGTCGGGTGTTGAGGTCATAGATGTGCAGTAGCAAATGGAAGAGAGAAGAGTAGATATTAAGAAAGTAAAGTCAATAGAACTAACTGGATGATAAAACAAAAAATAAATTTCTAGGAGACAAAGAAAAGTCTAGAAAAACTCTGAGTTTTGGATCTTTGTGAGAAATAATATTCTCTTCCTCCTGTCCTCCCAAGATGACATTGAAGCCAGCAATCATGTCACATGTGGGAAGTAAGTCACTAGCTTCTTTTATTTTTTTCTCTTAAAGATTTATTTATTTATTTGAGAGAGAAAGAGAGAGAGAGAGCAGGAGAAGGGGCAGAGGGAGAAGGAGAGGCAGAGAATCTCAAGCAGACTCCCAGCTAAGCGTGGAGCCCAACACGGGGCTCCATCTCACGACCCTGAGATCATGACCTGAGTCAAAATCAAGTCAGATGCTTAACTGACTGAGCCACCCAGGTGCTCCACTAGCTTCTTTTATATTCTTCACAACCCTTGCGCAATTTTGCTCAATATATATACAGTAGGTATCAATAAATATTTCCATAAGAAAATAACAGTGCTACACTCTAAGAACCACCTGGCCATGTTTCCTCATTTCAACTAATAAAAAATAATCAATATACAGTCAAGTTGCAAGATTTGTATAGCGATAGCAGTCAAATACAATAAAAAATGGCTTCAAGAACAATGTGAGAAAATGTACCCATTTACTGATACGCTAACAGAATGAGTTTCTCTTGTGCAGTCAAAAAACGAAATCTACTTCAAACCAACTCACCTTCTTCCTTTCACCATGGATTCCTCTCCATTGCTCAGACCTTTTCACTATGTAACTGAGCTCCTGATTGGAAATCTCCAAATCATATGGTATGAAAAACTTGGTTTCTTCAGTATGGATGCGCTGAAATGCATCTAATATCCAAGAATCATTGTGCAATCTAAGAACAAAACTGTCTGTTATTTTTGTTGCCCAAATATTGTTTACTTTTTGTCCCCCAAAAATGTTAAATAATTTGTTTCTTTTATCAATGTCTATGTATTCTATTGTAGTTCATTGTTCTCATTTGTCTTTCAGAAATTATTCGACTTATAGTCCAGAAATAATTCAATGCTATCCTCCACTAAACATCATAATGAAAGAATAATCTGGGTTTTTTTTTGCAATTATCTCCTATAAGCCTATTATTTCTGATTTTTGATGTCTAAGTAATAGAAGGTAGAAAATTAAGAAATATTTAGCCATTAATTTGTATTATGAATAGCACATAAATTCAAATGTGAGGGATTTGTTAAAGGAAACTTATAGTCAAGAACCCTAATGCATCACAGTATCAATAAACTACCCCTTTGAAAAGTTATTACAAAATGCCCAAGTTATGAATTGGAGTACCAAGATAGTTGAGCATTACGTGGAAGTGCCTTTCTATACAAAATGGGGAATTGTAAGTATTTAATTTCAATGATCAGGATAATTATATTTTGCTTTAAATAGAGTAGATAATTAAAACTAAAATGTATTGAGTTCCCATTAAAATGGTGGTCTTTCACATCCATTGTGTTATCTAGCCTTGCTTTAATCCTGTCTTTTACATATTGATGCACTAAAATAAAAAAAAATTAGTCTTGCTGTTTATAAGTAACAGAGACAGAATTTAAACTCAGAGCTAACACCAAAGTTCACTTCATTCCACCATCTGACTCTTCAGTGAAAATAATCAATACAACACATATCTTCATTTAAGGACCTTTATCTTACTTCTTCCAAAATAGTAAAATAGATTTTTTTGATTCTACTTGCCAAATAAGATCTGTGTGTCTTTTTTTCCCCCTAACAATTTTGCACTCATCACAGAATGGAAATAAAAGGAAAACTGCCAGCCAGTGTCACTGATGACTCAAGACAGGCCATATGGCTTGGTACCATCTTGAAATTCAACTACTACTCTTACTGTGCTTTGAGATTCTAGGTCGGCCATTTGAATGATTTGCTAGTTGTCTTGTTAAACAAGAACTAGTCTTTACCATTCTCTTAAGCTTGTTTAATATAACATCCATCTTTCTTTCTTTTAATGGTAGTAAGATTTAATGTAGTTAAATTACTGTCAATTTGCTGCCATAAACATTTTCTATATGAAGATTTTAAGTGCAGGATTAGCAACAATGCAATTAACTTTGAATTAATTAGGAATCACAGTCCTGTTTCTTCTAGCTTCTGTTCCTTTTGCCTGGAAAATGTCTGTCTCCTCTTTATATCTCCTTCATTTTGTGTGAAAGAATAATTATGTAAACACCCAAGCCCAGATCTACAGGATGGTATACAAATGCTTCAACAAAGAACTAAAGGGCATATTGGAATATGGAAAGCTGTACAAAGATTAACTGCACTTTAGTTTTACATTTACATTTTTTTCTTGCCATGTTGAGTGGCATTTTCCAATGAACAGCTTTATGATGGGTTGTAAATGAGTCAACTTACCAATCGTTACTAGTTTTTAGCATATTTTGCAGCCCTATAGAGCCAGTTTACACACAAAAAAAGGAGAAAATAGTCTATGGTTATATGTGTAAAAATTTAAACATAAATTGAGTGTTGATAATTATGTAATTCATTTGATTATGTAATCAGTTAAGCAATATAACATTTACCAAAAGTGAGTCATTTTGTCTTTTCAGGGAGTTAGGCAGTCCATACTGATCAAAGTTAGTGCATAGCTATTGAACTTCACTTCAGAAGAGAACTTCTGGTTCTCTTTAGAAAGTTAGAGTCCAACTAAATGTTAAGAAAATTTCTATAAAAACATACGATCTCAAACAGTTTCAATAAATTTCATAATTAAACTTATTTATAAAATATTTATATTAAGCATATTTATTTATTAAAAAATTAAAACAATTATTTCATAAATAAACTGGGCATTGGTAAGACATTGATGAGAGAGAGCAACAGACTATTTTCTCTGTGTAGACAAACTGGAGCCAGTCAATGAAATATTAACTTTAAACTTTCCGTGATCATATTAAGTTATGAAAGTTTGTTATTCTCAAATGGGTCAGAAATAACACACACACACACACACAGACGTGCATGTATTTTCATGCATTGTCTGCCATTTTGCATATGTGTGTATAAAGATCAGATTGATTTATATAAAATTGAAGATACTAAACATATTAGAGGAGAGAAGAGAAAGAGAAAACCAAAATGGAAATATTTTAATAATTAGTGAAATTAGGAGAAGACTATTCAAGTTCATTATATTATTTTTGCATTTGTATAGACGAGTTGCTATTTAATAAAAAGCTAATATTTTATGATATTCTATATCATTACCTGATGATGGTTACAGATTTGGATTTCTTTTAACAATACAACCATTCAAAGTGTCTGAAAATTTTACATTTTTAAATTATTTCTTCAAAATGTAATTAAAAGAGAAACTGTATTCCACCTGTCTGCAAAGCCGAGGGCATTATTGTTTATAGAAATAGGTCACATATTATGCCACAGGTTCTGATGACGGCCAATGAAACAAAGTAATTTACAAAGTCCTCTGCCCTGTGTCCTACATTTGAAGTAATTCATTGCTTGGTGAATGGCAGAAGCTATTATGTTTGGTTCACATCTGAATGTGGGTCATTTACAGAAACCTAGGATGTGACATTTCTTTTAAAGCTAAAAAGGACAAGTGTGAACATTTAGCTAACATAGTATTTTAAGGGTCATGAAAAGGATGGAGTCTATAACTTAAACTAGCTCCAAAAGAAAAAAATATATATATATGTAAATTAAAAAGAATCAAATATGATTGCTTCTTTCTAACTCTAAAAATTACAAATGAGTTTAGCAGCATGACTTTACAGATATCATAGTCAATGTGCTTATTGATAAAACTGCTTATCTACTGGTGTAAGTACATTAGAATGCTTCAGGTAAAGGTCTGAACAACTTATGCTTGCCAAAATTCATGTGAAATCTGTTCACATATTCTTTAGAGGACTTGTTGAACATTTTAGATGAGGTATATGACACTAAAGTTTTTATATGTATGGAAAAAGCTTTTGTGGGCTTTCTACAAACACTTGCATATTCAGCATTCTGTTTAAGACTAATTGAAATTCAAATGGCTTTGGTTTGAAATTATATATATATAATTTGTATACAAACTTATATAAATTATATATATATATAAATAGAGGAAAAGAGAAATACAATATAAAATAAAAAAGAAATAAAATGGAGAAGGGAAAATAATTTTAGGAAAAGGAAAAAGAAATTCAGAAAATAAAAAATATAGACATAATGGGAAGTAGTCAAGAACCCCTCCATCCCCATTTCCAGAGATAGCTCTATTGTAGGTTTATGAAGTATATATCCTTCAAAATATGTGTGGTCTCATGTTTGTAAGGGGAGAATCATCCTCTTCATTCATTCCTCATTAATTCATTATCTCAGTCAACAAATATTCACCGTTGCCTACCAAATGCCTAATACTTACTAAGTGCAAGCAGTAGGGAAGGAGACAGGTGAGAATCCCAGGAAGGGGGTACAGAGGAGACTGCATGGGGCCCTGGGGCTGGCAGGAAGAGGGCAGAATGACAAGGAAAGCACCTAGTGTTAGGGTAGTATCATGTAAGGAAGGCAGGGCCCACCCAGGTCAAGAGAGTTCTTAATGTGAGAGCAATCAGAAGCCATTATATGGATTTAAGGCAAGAAGTGATATGATACTTTTTAATTAAAAATCATTCTGGTTATAATGAGGAAAATAGATTAAAAGGAGCAAAAAGGAATATAAAGAGATTGGTTGGAAGGCTAATGTTACAGTAAGTCAGGGGAGAGATCAGGACACACTGGACAGGGAGCCTAGAAATAGAACAAGGTGGACAAGTTCAAGAGCTAAGCAATTGCCAGAAGCTGGAGAAGGTGAGGGAGAGGATAGATTTGAGGACAGATCTCTCCTACCCTTCCTGCCTTCCTCCCTCCCTCCCTCCCTCTCTGTTTTGTTGACTGAATAATTCTACTACTGGGTATTTACGCAAAGAAAATGAAAACACTAATTTGAAGAGATATATACACCCCTATGTTTACTGCAGCATTATTTACAATAGCCAAGTTATGGAAGCAACTCAAGTGTCCATCCATAGATGAGTGGAAAGAAGAAAACATGGGGTGTGTGTGTGTGTGTGTGTGTGTGTGTATACACACATACATATATTACACAGCCATAAAGAAGGATAAAATCATGCCATTTGCAACAACATGGTTGGATGTAGAGGGTATTTTGTTAAATGAAGTAAGTCAGACTGAGAAAGACAAATCCCATATGATTTCACTCATATGTGTAATCTAAAAAACAAAGTTTTACTCTTTATTTACTATACACATTTTAAAGATAAGGAAAAATCATAGGGGTAAAACTATTACCAAAGGACACGCAACTAGTAAGTGCCAGAGCCAAGATTCAAGCCAGGCCAAAGAGTCTTCAATCCAGGTATCAAACCACTATATCATATTCATTCGTTAGGTGAAAATTAACCACAAATATGAATTTTAAGTAATCTCATTGTTTAAAAAAATTAAGAAATATAGGGGCGCCCCGGTGGCTCAGTTAGTTAAGCCTCTGGCTCTTGGTTTCAGCTCAGGTCATGATCTCCCAGTTGTGGGATTGAGCCCCGCATCAGTTCTGGACTCGGTGCAGAGTCTGCTTGTCCCTTGCCTCTGCTCCTCCCCTCCCCACTTGTGCTCTCTCTCAAATAAATAAATAAATAAATACAGAGAGCACAAGCAGAGGAGGGGCAGGCAGAGGGACAAGCAGACTCCCCGCTGAGCAGGGAGCCCAATGCGGGACTCTATCCCAGGACCCGGAGATCATGACCTGAGCCCAAGGCAGAAGCTTCACCCCGACTAAGTCAGCCAGGTGTCCCATACATTAAATCTTTA